TCTTTCTTTCTTTCTTTCTTTCTTTCTTTCTTTCTTTCTTTCTTTCTTTCTTTCTTTCTCTTTCTTTCTTTCTTTCTTTCTTTCTTTCTCTTTCTTTCTTTCTTTCTTTCTTTCTCTTTCTTTCTTTCTTTCTTTCTTTCTTTCTTTCTTTCTTTCTTTCTTTCTTTCTTTCTTCCTTCCTTCCTTCCTTCCTCCCTTTCTTTCTTTTTATATTTGATACCGGGGATCAAACTCAGGTCCTTGCGCTTGCGCAACAGGCTATGGAACCACTGAGCTAAATTCCCGGCCCTGAAAGAATTCTTATTCAATTCATATTAAGATCACAAATTGGAGAAGTCTCAATGTTTACAGCTCTGGACTTTGAATACCTCCAGCTATCAGTTCCTTAGTGTTAATGCCCCTTCATGATACTCAGATAAAGCAGTTACCAACAGGCCTTTGGAACTGTTTTAGCCACTGGAGATAGTAGCTCCTTGCAATTCTCTGTCACTCTCCATGATTTCTGCTGGTCATCTTCAGTGTTACAAACTTTGACTACTGGATGCTTTTTGTGTCAGTGATCTTTGTATAATTACCTCCAGCTCCTGGCAGCTTTTTGTGCCTGTGACCTTTCATCAGCCCTGTCTTCTGGGTCTTCGGGCACCAGCAGCCTTTGCTAACACAAGCTCTTGGTGTACCAACCAGTTCAGCATGCTGTTCTCCAAAATGTGTAAGGACCAGGGAAAGGGGACAAAGGGATGTTACCAGAGCCCATGTCAGACCCGGAGTCTGGGTCTCCTGTGAGCCATGACAGCACAAGGCAAATTAATGAATAAAGACAGTAAACAAGACTTAGAGCAGAAGCTGAGCTTTAGGCCTGATCATACTGCTCTGGGCAGCAAAGACAAAGGAACCCCAAGATTGCCACACCTTTATTCGGTACATCGGGAGTAACAGATGACTCAGAGGGTGGCAATAATCCTAGGACAATGAGAAACTTATGAAGATGGAGATCCTAGGTTAACAAGGAACTTATGGTGATTAGGAATTTGTCTCTCTCCAGGTGTAACCTTTCTCTTACTACTCGGTTCTGAAGGAAACAGGATGTTTTCAGGTGATGCAATGCTGTTCTAGAGTATCACAGCATCAAGAGACCATCGAGGTTTTAGGTGTGATTGGAGGCAAAAATGGAGTTATGTCTTGACATGCCATAGCTGGCTTGTAGGCAGGAAATCTAGGCCTAATCATAATTTAATTGTGAAAAGATCTTTCCACAAAATTATGTAGAATTGCTCCCAACAAGAGTGAAATAACAAATGGGCAAAAATATGCCATCCAGAAAGGCTTTTATTAGGATTTATGCTGCAGCATAATAGGGAACAACATATGGACTGAACTTACTAAAGGTATAGGGTAGCTGCTTGCAAAGAAAAAGGCGGGCTCATGAATGCACAGTAACAGTAATTGAGTTTTGGTCGTGGGAGGGGCGGGGTCTCCACAGACCCAGTTGAAGATGGCTGCCATAAAGGCAGATGTATCCCTAAAGAATGAAGAATAGAGTCATCTTGGATAGGTCCACATCTAAAGCTTGCTGCATCCAAAACAACTGTCTCTCAGGGGATATCTTTGTGGGGGCAGCCACAGACAAAACAAAAAAACCCAAAATAAAACAAAACAAACCTCTTGGTGAGTGTCAGGTCTTTTTCTCTTGTTTCTAAAGTGTCCATGGCCTAGGACTTTGTGGGATGCAGAATTTAAGAGAGATAAACAAAGATATCTGGCAGAAAAAATTGTAAGCAGCAAAGATTAAGGCTGCTACCTGGTTACTTTTGTCTGCTTACAGTGGAATGAGAGGACATGATTTAAAGACAGAATATGTAATTAAAAGATAAGCATCATCTAGATAGTTGGAAGTCTAGGTAGTCAGTCTAGATAGCTTGGCTGTGTGGTGGAAAATGAAAGTGCATTTCTAGACAAGGAAATCAAGGGTGCAGGCTGAGTGATTGTTTTCTAAAAAGATTAGTATGACTTGAAGAGATCATTAAGACAATGAGAGAGAGACCCTGAAGGAAATTGTGGAAACTTCCCTTCCATCACAAACGCTGAGCTAGGAAAGCAAATAGTTTTAGCAGAGAAGCTCAGGATATTTTCCAAGAGCTGGGTGCTCAGGACCACATCTAGTCCCTGCTTCTTTCATTATGGAGCAGCAACACTCAGTTACTCCACCGGAGTTTAAGTTGCAGTTCTATTATTCAATTCAAATGCTTACCATTCAACCAGAAATCGAAGAAAGAGAAGATGATGAAAGGAATCATGTGTATTCAAGCCTACTCCTGAAGAAGATAAAGGCACAGCTTTTTCAAACTCTACCTCTTCTCTGGCCCAGGTACAAAAAAGTTTTGTACAGTACAGTAGGAGACGATGAATTTGAATACTGAGCAGGGCAGTCCTGCCCTTACCTCAATAGATTTTGAATTCTTGGGGCTAATTACAAAGTTACAAGGACCATCTGAATTCTGTGAATTTAACAAAAAATTTAATGTTTTAACTGTTCAGATATAGCTTGTCCTCAGAGTTGAGACTATTCAGCTGTGGCCTATCCTTAGGGTTCATAATTCTAGATAAATGGGGAGAGGGAAGTTAAAGGATTAGGAAGGGAAGGTGAACGTAATCTTTCTGAGGACAACTTCTAGAAGGATCTGCCTTGTTAGAGTTCCTCACTGCCTGTCCTTCATTTCATTGCTATGGAACGTGCACATAAATTCCATTCTAGTTGATTTCAGCTGCATAGGGGTAAAGAGTGATTATTTTTGGAATAAAATATCTTTACATGATGAAATATACTTGTGAAAAAATATTTAAGTTTCTCTGCCAGCCAACACCTCCAGGCACTATCTGAAGAAGGACCAGAATTCCACAGGCTGAGCTTCTTATCGGGTTCTGGGGTGGTGTGAACTCTTTCTAGAGGTGCTTTCAAGGTTTTTTTTTGTCCTTAACAAAGAATTAGACAAGACAAGTGAAACAAATAGGGAGGTATCCTATTTACTAAAGGTAGGAAAAGAAATATGCTATGCAGATCAAGTGCAGGCCAGTTAAAGTAGGATAAGAAGTACACTGCAGGCTAAGAGCAGTCCACTGTGAAAGAGCGAGCCCAGTGGCCATGAGGAAGGTGGCTGCTATTCTTTGTATCCCCCACTCCTCAGGGTAAGGCTAGATCTAGGACAGCCTATCAAAAACCTGCCTGAGTTCTCATGAGAAGAATTGAAGATAACACTCTCTGATTGGTCCCAGGTGCAGGGCTTGGAAAACAATTTTTCTGTGCATTTCCTGGGTTTCCATGATTGACAGGTCGCCAGCCATCCAGCTGGTCCCAGCATCACCTCCAGCCTCAAGCTTGCTTTACAGAGATGAATCCAGGGCTTTACTTTTGTGAGATTCAATAAGATGTGGGTTGTTAATAGTACATCATACGGGTCTTTCCAATTTTCATTCAACTCTTTCCGGTCCTTGGGTTCTCCAGGTTTTAGTAGCACCTCTACTCCAGCATGGAAGGGGTACAGAGCCTAATTGGTTACACAAACCTGAAGAGAATAAATTGATGCAAAGCAGTTTGTGTCTGAACCAATTGCTGTACATACTCTTTGACCTTAGCCCCATTTTCTAGTCTACAAGGTAGAGCTCCTACCATACAGGTAGGGCTCCTACCAAAGGAAAAAAAAGGTAGAAAGTGTCTCCCATACACAGTTTCCTTGTTTTTTTTTTTGTACCAGGGATCAAACTCAGGACCTTGCACTTGTGAAGTGAGCAGCGGCACCACTGAGCTAAATCCCTGGCCCTCCCTCCATACACAATTTCAAAAGGTCTTACATTTCAAAGGGTCTACTTGGGAATAGAGCAATCAGCACAGTGTTTATTCCATTTTAAATGGGTCTTTGCACAAAGATTAGCTAGTGTCTAATAGTATGATTACAGTTGCAAAGCCTTAGTAAGTGTTTTCTATGCAGGGGCACCAACTAGGAGAGCAGGGCCTGTACTACCTCATCTGACATCACCACAGTACATGCAGCCTGGTATCATCCTTGTTTCATGCAGCTGCTCCCATCAATGTATAGTTCTCAGTTTTGCATTCCCAGCAACTGGTCTGGCAAATCTGTTCTGCCAGAATAGAGTTCTCACAGATCTGAGAAAAGGCTCCTCTGTTGCCTCCTCAGTGTGGGTAATCAGGATTTATAACCTTAAGTCTTGTTCCAGTGGGACCTGCAGATGTACATGTCTTTTGGAGAGAAAGTTACTTAAAGATTTAGTGTACAAAATAAGCCTTTCTCCAATAATGGAATTAGGCATTTTGGCCTGTACTGGAGACTCTGCTTTAATTTTAAATGTCCTAATCGGTATTCCTTAAGATGGAGAAAGATTTTTCTGTTTTCGTTTCTGCATTTCCCCTGTTATTCTTGCAATGGACACTAAATGCACACTACCCTTTGGCAACTGTGAGTAACCTTAGTGCTGAGAACAGAATATGCAGTTTCTGTGCACCCTATGCAGTCCATCATTTGGTTCTCTGTCTCTGAAAGATCAAGGGGGCCATGGGCTTCTTTATTCATCCTGGGAATCACAACTGTTTTCCACCATCTATGTACTTGCCACCCTCATCCTTTATCTTTAGTATTGGATATCACGTTTCCAATGTCTCTCTTCCTTTCCATATGTGCATTCGTTCCTGAAGGACCTTAGTTAGCAAGACAGACTCCGTATTGCTGTTTGACCCACCTGCCTGCCCTTTAGATGAACTCAGAAGGAGGAAGCTTAGAAACCTCCTCCCCTTAGAAAGTCTCTTTAATCAACTATTGTTTTACAAATGTTCTAACAGCAGGACATTCGGCTTCTGTACCTTTCGCTTGCTTTGCTAGTTCTATCCCATAGAGGGGCCTAGAAACTGTTGGCCTCAAAGGTGTACAAAAAAGGTGTTTGTCTCCCCCCAGTTGGTGCTCGAGTCCGATGCTCAGCTCCGGTCCCCTGGTAATAAACTCCTGTGTGGATTTAATATTGGTCTCTGGTTGGTTCTTTCTTGCTGGGTCTAACAGTTCCTCCCTAGGGACTCTCTTTTCTTGTGCTTATCTGATCCATTTATCTCTCCCCTCTTCATGTTCTGTCCTACAATAGCCACCAAAAATATAGCCTGCCTCACTATTTTTGTTTTTGCTTGCATTATATAATCTAAAGGAAATATCCACCGGTTGGGATGAGATTTATTCCCACAGCCACTTCCACATTTGAAAATTTCTACAAAATACGGGACCTTTTGCTCTATAAATGTCGAGTTAACAATCCTCATATTTCCTGAGACTTCCAGAACCCCCATCCTTCTTATATGCATGGTAAATTCTTTATAAAAATTATAAAAGTCTTCATTTGATTTTTGTTAGATTTCCTGTACTCTGTTTAAGCTTTTCTGCTTAGTAACATCCTTTCTGAATCTTGTTAAGATACACCTCTTATGATCTGTATCATCATTCCTCCATAATATGGATTCCAATTAGCCTCTCTCTCTCTTTACTAGGGATTGAACCAGTTCCTTCACATTGAGTTATATCCTTGGACCCTTTTAAATTTTTGATTTTCAGTGTGGAGCCTTGTGGTGTTGTGGCCTCTACATCAGCTAGAGATTGACTTACAGTATTTTAAAAACCAACTTCTTCATTTTCTCTTTTCTCTTGAGTTTTACTATCTCTGCAGAAAATAAGGTTTTCCCCTCCTCTCTGAAAAATCAGCTAGTTACATGTTTCTCAGAATCCTCATTGAAAAGGAGCCCAAAAGCTGATATGTAAGGGATTTCATCCTATTTATCTAGTCTTTGATGAAACAATTGCAATAAAATCCTATGATAATTTAATGATCCATTAATTGGCCATATTTTATCAGAATGTAACACATGAGACCATGCAGTTTTACAATAGCATATCAACTCTTTCCTAGTTATAAGGGCATAGTTGTAAGCTATCCTGCCAGCTAGTATGCTTCTCAGATGACAGGTGGTATTAAGATTGAGCTTCCTATTCTAGAAATAAAATGTAAGAAGAAAAAGAAAAAGGGAAAAAAGAAAAAAAGAAATGAGTTCTCACCATAGAAACAAATTTCCTTGGAACTTTAGCCCTCTGAATCTTATCTCACAGCTACTGGTAATCAGAAATAATTGAACTGAAGTACAAATAGCAATTCAAGTCCCAATTGGTGGGGATAGAAAATCCCCAGAGTGCACCCCAATGGGATGAATCCAGGCCAAAGCCTCGATTTTTCTGTTGCAAATATTTACTAATAAAAATAAATGAGAAAAAAGTCATTGTTGGCATTGGGTTTTGATTTACTTGGTGCTTGTTACTCCTTTCTTTACTATTTCTCCCTTTAGAGTAGAAATGTCTGTCTTATGACAGACCCACCATTGTGTTTAGGAAGTAAGATAGTTTGTTTTGAGTTTTTTGTGTGTGTTCTGGGGATAGAACTCGGGACCTTGAGCTTGCAATGCGGGTGGTGGAACCACTGAGCTATATCCCTGGCCCTAGTTTGTTTTGATTTTATTGTTCCACAGGCTATGGATAATTTGCCTCAGTATATTTCATGCACTTATTCTTACTTATATCCAATTTAGATATGACCTTGGACTTGGGATATTAGAGCTAATACTGGAATGAATTACAGCTTTGAGGCTATTGAATTGTGTTGTGGTTTAGGTCTAACGTAAGGTGACTGGATTATGAGAGTACTAGACCCGACTTGCTGGTGGGAAGAGGTAGGTGTCTAACCTCGGAGGGCATATCTCTCTCACTGGCCCTGCTCTGCTTCCTGGCTGCCATGGCATGAGCAGTTTTTCTCTGCCCAGGCCCTGCCATCATGCTGCTTCTGACTTGGAACCAGCTGACCATGTACTGTAATTGTAAGTCAAAATAAACCTCTCCAATAAGTTGCAGGTGTTAGGTATTTTGTCCCAGTAACAAGGAAACTGACTAAGACAAGGTGAAAATGACATATGTGAGCTTATAATTCCAGTACTCAGGAGACTGAGGCAGGAATATTGCTATGAGTTTGAGGCTAGTCTGGGCTACATAGTCCAAGCCAGCCTGAATTACATAGTGAGACCCTGTATCAAAAAAATCATATCAAACAAACAAATAAGCAAAAAAAAAAACCCACCCCATATATATATTTGGTTTGTGAGGACATGAACTTGGGAGTTAAGCACAGGATGTTATATTTATCAAATCTCAGTTATCCTATTATAGCAACAGGAAATGAACTAAGATAATGGACATTTTTTATTTAACCCTGATCTTAGAGGAAAACTTTTCAACTTCTCACCAGGTACATTGTCAGTTTTGGGCTAATAATGCAAGTGGAGTATCCTTTATGTAAAGTGATTGGGGCCCTTTTTTTTTGAATTTTAGAATTTTTATATATATTATGTAATGAGATATCTTGGTTGTGGGACGTGGGCCTAAAAACAAAACACATTGCCAATAATGCTCCCCAAAATTCTTGAAATACTCTCCATTTGAACTCACTTATCTCGTCATTACTGGCAATATGCCTTTTATTGTAATAAATATTTTATGTTTTAACATTCACTGTATGTTTTAATCGCCCCTTGTGCGCTTTATAAACATAGCCTGAAGATCATTTTATACAATATTTTATATAATTTTGTGTATGAAAGAAATTATGATGGTGTAGAGTTTTCTATATGTAGCATTAGTACTCAAAGTTTCAGAACTTGAAGCATTTCAGATTTTGGATTTTTAAATTAGGAATACTCAACATGTGTATGGTCTGTATTGTCTTGAGGTAATTCCTTCAATACCAAATTTATAAAATCAGAGCAATGTTTATTACTGTCAAGTGTTTGTTCTGCCTCTGTTGATAACCATGTAATTGTGTTCATCAGTCTCTTAATTACAGAGTATAAATTTTTTTGAGTGATATGCATGGAACCATCCTTGCACCCCAGAAATTAATCACACTTGATCATGTTTTATGCACCTTAAAATACACTGTTGAATTAAGTTTTCCAATTAAGGACTTTTGCATCTATATTCATCTTGGATATTAATCGGGTACATTGGGCTTTTAATTTCTTGCAGTATCCCTGTGTGGCTCTGATGTCACGATTATGCTACCTCAATCAATGAGTTGGGACTAAGGTCTGCATTGTTTTTTCTTCATTCTGATTTCATTTTTCTTTTCTCAGTCTAGATGGAAGTTTTTTTATATAGCTATATATATAAGTCAGCTTTAATTTCTGCTTAGGATTTGTTTCTATTATTAAATGTGCTAGATTAATATACTGTATAATCTCATACATGTCATCATTCTTACATTCATTTATTAATAGTTAAGTAATAAGTAGTATGTATATTATACTCAGTAGTGACTTAGTTTGTTTTTCACATATTTGTGAGTGATAGGATTTTAAAGATGGAGACAATATCTTTTTAATGTGCTATGAAACAGACTCTCAGAGAGACTCAGGAGTTATGCAGAAAGCTTTGGAAGACTTGAGACAGTGATGGTGGGAAGAGACAAACACAGAGGTAATTACATTTAATTTCTTGCTGTGGATGTTTTATGGAAATATAGCATTTTGGTTTGCCACATTTGAATGCAATGCTTTTAAGAAGTATGCCACTGGCCCCTCAAATTCTAAACACACTACTGCACAAGAAACCAAATTCTTATTTATGAATAAAACTGAATTGAGTAATACTTAAAAAATAAAAATAAGAACTGGATTACTAATAAAAATTCTGGATAAAGCTGAACAGTTTAATCATACCAATGCTTTTAACCATAATTATTATATTTTTTACAACTAGGATACTCCAGGTGACCATCATGACACATTACACGAAATGGTTTTAAAGATGCAGAACGATACCCATTTTTGCATACAAATTCAACTTCATCCCCTGATGTGGAATAAAGCTTCTGTCTTTCTCTCCACTTGAACTTTATATTATATTTTTCCATAATTTCTTCTGATATTATACATGGATCTGGAAAAAATGACCATAATGTATTAAGTAGTATATAAATCTTCTACAAAGACTGTCTAGTTTACCAGTAGAATGTTACATAATGTTTTAAGGGTTTTTACTCAAAATGCTTTCCCAAGAAACTGGAAAAACATCATATAGCTTTAAATAAAGTGAAAATGATAAATGGTATGAAAATATAGTGTCTTAATGTGTGATAATTAGATGTTATTATGAAAGATTTATAGCATTAATTATATTAAGAGCTTTGGCTGTTTTTGTTTGATTTAGATGTTGATCAAAGGGTATAAACTTTGAGTTACAGGATGTATAAATTTAAGGATCTAATGTACAATATGATAACTCTAGTTAATACTGTATTGTTTACTTGAAATTGACAAGAATGCATACTTGAAATTTCTCACAACACACACACACAACAAAAATAGTCACTGTGGGTAAAGATGAATATGGAATTAATTTGATTGTGGTAATTTTAAAAATTATAAATACAACAAATTGTCACATTAGGCAACTGAAGGTTCTGGGGCAAAAGCCATGGCTAAAATCATCACCTTATGCTTTGGCTAGCACCAGCATTTAGCAACAGAGAAGAATCCCAGTTCTTGGTGCCACACTACCTATGTGGCTCCTGCCACCACTCTGCCTCCCCCTTGCATCTGATCATGCATTCTTGTCAAGGCTGGAGCTGAGGGCCACAGAAATATTGCTGCAGTCCCAGCTATCTTTCTCCACACAGTCTGGTCTCACACCACTGTCTAGTTAGAGGACAGGAGCTTCAGGCAAATCACCACTATTTGATGGTCAACTCAGCGATAGAGGCACTTGAAAGTGGCAGAGGTAACATCAGCAGTGTCTGTTCATCACCATATTAGAATCACCAATGCCCATTTTAGAAGTAGCCACACAAGAAATCCTCTGCTTTCTGCACCACACATCATACCTGAGCTGCTAGAGTAGCCCAACTACTGTACAGACCACAGACAAGCTGCATCTCCCCAAATCTGGGATACACAATGTGTCTCCAGTTGTGAATTACAGCCAAAGAAGCAATAGGGAGATTTCACTGTACTGCATCACTGGGGCAAAGCCAACAATGCATAACAAACTGACACCTAAAGATATATTAAGGAAGCCCTCCCCCCATATATGTGGGAGAGATACCTGATCTACCAGATGTACGGATATCAGTGCAGGGTCAAAAGAAATAAAAAATAAGATAATGGCATGCCTATAAAAGAATACAATAGCTCTCTAATAACAGATCCAAAAAATTTATATGGACAAAGTGCCTGATAAAGAATTGAAATAGTATTTATAAGAAATTCAAAGAGATTCAACAGAATACACATAAACAGTTGAATAAAATTGGAAAGACAACACAGTTACAAATAAAAAAGTAAGCAGAGATTTTGAAAACAAACCAGATATCTAGGAAATGATGAGCTCCTCAAATCAACTAAAAAATATGGTTGAACAACAAAAGACTAAATCAAGTGTAACAAAGAATATCTGACACAGATTGCAGGTCTTTAGAAACATCTCAGTAGAAAAAAAGAATGAAGAGAATACTCAAGACATTTCAGACATCAATAAATAAAAACAAGCCTCATTTTCAGAATAGCAAAGGAGGAGGGAATAAAGTTAAGGGCATAGAAAGTTTAATGAAATAATAGAAGAAAATTTTCTTATATTGGGCATACATATGGACATCCATATATAGAAGGCAAGAGGACTCCAAATAGACATTAACAGAAAGTATCTTTGACATGGCATACTATAGTGAAACTTTCAAAAGTACAAAAGAAGAAAGAATTCTAATATCTGCAAGAGAAAAGCACCAAGTCACATCTAAGGGTATCTCTATTAGACTAACAGTAGATTTCTCAGCAGTAACCTTATAGGCTAAGAAGAAATCCAATTATATTTAAATTCTGAAACAAATAACTGCCAATCAAAAATACTATACACAAAAAGACAACCTTGCAGAAATGAGGGAGAATTAAAGACAAGTAAATAGCAAGAGATTTCACTATCAATAGACCAGGTTTACAAAACATGCTTAGGAAATTGTTAAACTCAGAAGTGAAAGAAAGATAACTACCACCATGAAAGCATATATAAATTCCACTAGAAGAGAAGATTCACAAAGAGAAATAGACATGAATCAAAGAATATCAATATAGTATAGAATCAAACTAGAAAAATGAATGAGAAAGTAATTAAAAACTAAAAATGTTCAAAACAACTAGAAGAAAACTAAAAAATATGACAGGAGTAAATCTTTCCTTTCAATAACAACCTTCAATGTAAATAAGCTAAATTCTTCTATTAAAACGCATAAGCTGCATACAAGACCCCACAATATGCTGCCCACAAGAAACTCACTTCACCAGGAAAAGCATGTATGGACTGAAAGTCAGTGGACAGAAAATGATATACCAAGGAAATGGGAACCCAAAGCAAGTCGGAGTAGCTGTGCTTATATCTTAAAAAATAGAATTCTAGACAAAAATGTAAGAGGAAACAAAGATCTTTATATAATGATGAAAAGATTAATTCACCTAGTCAATAAATTGATTGTAAATCTATATCCCCCTAATGTCAGACCAACTGACTTTACAAAACAAAAACAAAGAAACCCCTGTTAGACCAAAAGGAGAGAAAAGCTCCAATATAATCCAATACAATAATAGTGATGGACTTCAACAGCACAGTTTCATCGGTATTTAGATTTTGCAGCCAAATTATCAGACAAAAATTTAATCTAACACATATCAAGAGGATTTAGCAGATATTTAAAGAACATTCTATTCAATAGCTGAGAAATACACATTCTGTTCTTCCGTGTATGAACCTTTGTCCAGAATAGCATATTTTGTGCTTTTGTCATCACAATGAAATAACATTTAAAGTAAAAGCAAAAGATATTTTTACAGTTATATGAATACAAATCAATTAAAGAACAATTTGGGTTTTGTTTGTTTTTGCAGTCCTGGGAATTAAAGTGGGGCCTTCACACTGAGCTACATCTCTAGGCCTTTTTATTTTTTTATTTTGAGACAGGGTCTTGCCAAGTCACTAAATTGTCCAGGCTGGGCTTGAACTTACTATCTCCCCCCTCAATCTCACAGAGTGCTGGGCTTACAAGGATGTTAAATTCTTTCATTAAAGAAATAAAAAAGAAAATTTAAAAATATTTTGAAAAAGACAAACATTGAAGTAGAACATACCTATGGGGTACAATATATCATGTGCAGTACTAGGAGGGAAATGAGTGTCAACATAAAAAAATAGATTTTAAGTAAAAACCTAACTGCATCAAGGACCTAGAAAAGTAGGATAGATTAAAACCAAAATTGGTAGAAGAAAACAAACAATAATCTTCAAAGCAGATACACATGAAATACTATTAAAAAGGCAATACCAAAGAGCAATGAAAAAGAGTTGGTGTTTTGAAAGGTAAACAAAATTTTAGAAAACCCTTATGCCAGACTAACCACCCCCCAAAAGAGTGAAGTGAAAAGACAAATAAATAAATATATAAATAAAATTACAGATGAAAAAGGAAATATTATAACTTATACCATAGAAATGCAAAGGATCATTAGGGATTATAAGAAATTATATGTTAACAAATTGGTTAACCTTAAAGAAATGAATAAATTTCTGGACAGAGGTTTCTACCAAATTTAACCCTGAAGAAATAAAAACAGAAGTATTTGGATATCAAATGAGATTGAATTAGCAATAAAATGTGTACCAACAAAGAAATTCCATGTCCAGATGCCCTTATGGCTAAATTTTTCAAAAAAGAACTAAGAAATTGTTTAAAAATGTTTAAAAGCATAAGAGATAGAACACTTCTAATCTCATCTGTCTACCATTACCTGTTAACCAAAACCAGGAAATGATACAAGAAAAAGAAAACTGCAGAACGATAACCCTGATGCAAAAATTTTCAATAATACGCAGCAAATTTTATTCAACAGAGAATCATAAAGATCATTTACTATGATCAAATTTGTTTCATTCCCGGAATGCAAGTAAGGTTGGTTCAACATATGCAAATCAATAAACATAATATATTACATCAGCAAAATCAAGGATAAAAATCATGTGACTATCTCAATAGATGCATTAAAGCATTTGATAAAATGTAACATCCATTCATGATAAAAGCTCCAAGCAAATAATATAGTAGAATTATATCTCAGGATTATAAAGTCTATATATGACATACTCAAAGTCAACAACATACTGAAGGAAGAAAAGTTGAATACATTTCTTCTAGGATCAGGAACAAGATGAGGCTGTTTATTCTCTCAGTCTTTTTTCAGTATAGTGCTAGAAATTTTAGCCAGAGAAATTAGGCAAAAATAAATAAATAAATAAATAAATGTCATACAAATAGGAAGAGAAGACCATTGACCCCTGTTTGCAGGTGATATGAATAGATATATATTCCACATATATATTTTTCATATATATATATTTTCCACATATATATATTTCCATATATATATTTCCATATATATATATTCCATATATATATGTGGAAAAATCTAAAGACTCCATCAAAAGAGTATCAGAACTCATAAATTCAAGAAAGTAGCAAAATACAAAATCAAATACAAAATCAGTAGCTTTTCTATACAAAAATAATGAGTTTACAAAATGGAAAAATGAAAAATTCCTATTCGCAATAGTTTTAAAGTAAACAAAACTAAAAATAAATTTAACCGAGGAAATGAAAGACCACTACAGTGAAAATTACTACTCACCAATGAAGTAAACTGAAGAAGTCATAAAAATAAACCTGTATTCATGGATTAGAAGAACTAATATACTGTTGGTATGTTCATACTATCCTAAGCAATATGTGGATTTAATGCTCTTATCATCAAAATACAATGATATCCTTCACTGAACAAGAGAAAACAATCTTAAAGTTCACATGGAACACAAAGGATCTTGAATACTAAAAAGAATCTTGACCAAAAAGAAGAAAGCTGGAAGCAGCACAATATCTGATTTTAACACATACTATAAAAGCATAGTAATCAAATGAGCATGCCAGTGGCATTAAACAGACCCAAAACCAAAATAGAATAGAGAGTCCAAGTATTTACTTATGCAACCAGAGCCAAGTGATTCTTGACCAAGATTCCAAAAAAAAAATAATAATAATAATAATAAATACTACATTGGAGGAAGGACAGCCTCTCAAATAAATTTACTGGGAAGACCTGGTATCTTCATTCAGATGATTGAAACCTGACTCTTGTCTCTCATCCTGTTCAAAAATCAACTCAACATGGATCAAAGATCTAAATGTAAGATTTAGAAATCTAAAACTATTAGACAAAAACATTGGCAAAACACTTCAAGAAATTGGTTTAGATAATGACTATCTGGATAGGACTCTAAAGGTATGGGAAACAAGCAAATATTGAGAAATGGAATTCCATCAAATGGAAAAGCTTCTGCAGAGCAAAACAAACAACTGAATGAAAAAACAATTTACTTAATTGGAGAAAGTCCTCCAGCTATTCATCTGACAGAAGGTTAACATCCAGAATATACAAAGAACTCACAAGGAAACAGGTAATCCAATTAAAAACTGGGCAAATGATCTGAACAGACATTTTTCAAAAGAAGAAATACTGCCAACAATTCTATGAAAAATACACACTATCGTTAGCCATCAGGAAAATACATATCAGAACTACAAAGAGATACCATGTTAATCCAAACAGAATGTCTGTTACAAAAAAAAATCTGAAAAATAGCTAATGTTGGTGAAGATATGGGGAAAAAATTTTTATACACCGTTAGGAATGTAAATTAATACAGTCATTGCAGAGAACAGTATGAAAATTCCTCAAAAACCTAAAAATAGATCTCTCATATGATTTAGTTATCCTACTTCTGGATGTATATCCAAAGGAAATAAAATCAGTATGCTAAAAGATAGCTGCATGCCTATTATTATTGCTGTGCTATTTGCAATAGCTAAGATATGGAATCAGCCTAGGTTCTCAGCAATGGATGAATGAATAAAAGCAATATGGTATATTTACACAATGGAATGTTATTTAGCCATAAAAAAATCAAAATCTAGGACTGGGGATTTAGCTCAGTGGTTCCGCAGCCTGCCTTGCATGCACAAAATCCCAAGTTCAATCCCCAGTACCCGCCCCCATCAAAATCTTGTCATTTACAGCAAAACACATACACCTGAAAAACATTAAGTGAAATAAACCAAACACAGAAAGACAAATACTACGTGTCCTCTCTCATACGTGGAAAATCAGCAAAGTTAACTTGAAGGTAGAATAGTAGATTAATAGAGGCTTGAAAGGGTATACGTGGGGTAGAAGATAGTCAGTGGGAGGCTAGAGTTCATGAGCTCATGGTGCATGCATGCATGAAAAAATCACACTGACTCTGATTGATAGGGAAAATTAATGCATTTCAATATAAAACTGAAAGTAAAATATGCTTTTAAAATCTTCACACTTTATATCTTTAATATATACATAATTTGTCTGTAATTAAATATATGTTATAGTTAAATATATATATATATATGTATATATATATAATGGTTGTTGGTCATTCTGAATGTTCTGTTACAAAGAGGAAATATCCTATTAATTACATTGACTTGTCCAAGATCCTTGAGACTAATTTTTTTTTTTTTTAATTTTGGTACCAGGGATTGAACTCAGGTCCTTTGGCTGGTGAGGCAGGAGGGGGAACCACTGAGCTAAATCCCTGGCCCCCTTGAGACTAACTTACTTAAGCATTTGGGTGGTTTGGACCATTCTCCATTTTCACATGTTATTTGGCGGTTGCCCTGAAGTTGATACAAGTTCTGGCACTGATATTCAACAGATGAGTGCGGGGCATATACTGGTAAGGGGAATGAAGTAATGTCTCCATTGTCGATAGGTGGGGGAGACCCACATTTTCCTGTAGAATCTAAAAAAAAAAAATCATTTGATTTATTGATAGACCAAATAAAAATACAAGCTAATGTCAACACAAATACTGTGCTACACAAAATAGGAAGACTTTTGTGATATCTGTTAATAGAAATGATTGCTTGAAGAAATTGTAAACATATAAACTGAGTTGCATTTTTAACCTCTACCTTTCACCTTCCTGAAGGTGCATATAAAGCATCAACAAATATGTCTGCTTGCAGTGCTACAGTATTGAAACATGTATTAATAAATAAAAGCTGGAAAGGTAGATAGCTACCAGTAAAAGTATCTATAGCATACTGCAGTTTATTGTGTCACTAATCAGTTTTTCTTATTTTCATTATGCAAGAAGCATGAACTCTTGAAAAATTCAAAGCATACAATTTGACGATCATAAAAAGAATTATTGGCTTCCTTATATAGACATGATGAGCACAAAACATTTCTATGTATTTCTTATACTAAATACTGTACAACAAAAAATCTTGGGTGTAATATTAAAAAAAAATGTAAGAAGACTTAGGATACAGAGTATTCAGTCAGCACAGGAAATTCATGGATGAAAGGATGGCAGATCAGGAATTCTCCCTTAGAGTCCTGTGTGTCCTGGATGTAACACTGGAAAAGACTACAACACAGGAAGGATACCAGGTTCAGATGTGTGAAGGAAATCCCAAGAGCAGACTCATCTCTTTAACCAGAGGATCAAGAAAGTCACAGGCCTAGCAAGACCAAAACATTGTTTTGAATAATACCTCACCTACTCTAGAAAAACCATTGTATGGCACCTATGGGCAGCTTCTATAGCCTCTAATGGACCACCCTCACACAGATATCTGTCTCCTCTCCTGTAATGCCAGGAGAGGCCAAGGGAAACCCTGGACTTAAACAGCATGGAAGTCATGGCAACCTACTAAACAGGTGATTTCAATACACTGTGGATTTTAAAATATGATATCCAAACTGTCTAGAATAAAGTTAAAATTAAAGATCAGAAAAATTTCAAAACAGAAAAGACAGCAAAAGAGAACACAGGCATGACACAGACATTGAGACGTTGAGACTTAGAACTGATAGGCACAACACAAATGCAAAACAAAACCAACACAAATGCAAAACTAAATGAAAACAAAATAGAACCTCACTGGATGAGTGTAACAGATCAGAAATGATGGGCAGAGAAATCCATGGAGTTGAAGATAGAATTGAAACAACTCAGGCTGAAAATACCCTGAAAACCAGTGTGAACTAATCTCAGAGATTTGTAGAAAACGACAACAAAACTGGGGATCTATGAGACAGAAGTAAGGACACTAAGTTGGAAAAATAAATAGTTTAAATGTTTGAGATAAATTTACATATTGAAGAAGCTGAGTGAACTAAGTCAGGATAAAGCCAATGAATCTCATACTAATACACATCATAATGAAACTCACATAATACACATCATAATGAAACAGCCAAAGGGAAACTGTGCATTACATGTGGGAGACACCAATTCAGGTGATGTATTTCTCATCTGTGACCATGGAGACCATGTAAGGAAGTAACAGAAACTTCAAATTCTATATTTATTGACACTATCCTAAAGGCATAAATAAGGAAATGATCAAACAAAGGAAGACCAAGAGAATGTGTTTCCCGTAGAATAACCCTTACAGTATGACTAAGGAAATTTTTTTCAAAGAGAAATGAACAAGATAAGGAGAGTGTAACTTCAGGAAGGAGAAAAGAACAACATAGTTGGCAAAAGAAAGTTATATCATAGCTTCTCTTTCCTCCTCATGAGTTTATTCAGTTATGTTTAATGTCTGGAACAAAATTATATCACTTGATAATGATTCCCAATGTATGTGTTGGAAATACTAAAGTAATTTTTATTTAAAACATGGAAAAGATAAATGGATTTAAATTGAGGTAAAGTTTCCATATTGCAATTCAAGTGTAAAATGGCAATAGTAGCACAGAGTGAAAAAAATATATGTATCTGTTCCAATACACAAAAAAAACTTTTAAAAAAAGATGATGTTAGTTATGTCATCAGAGAGATACACACAAAAACAACAGACACAAGTCAAAATGAAATTCTTTTAAAATGTTCTCCAAAGGGAAGGAAAGAAAAGGGAAAGAGCACGGAGAAAATAAATACAAGCAAATAAATAGACAAAGTCCCTAATATATCAATAATTATTTAAAAAATAAATTATTAAAATACACCAGTTATAAAGCCAAAAATAGCAAGATGAATGGGTAAATAAGATCCAACTATCTGCTTTCTACATAAAATTCACTTAAACATGAAAAACATAACAAAAATCTAAATAAGGCAAAATATACTGAACAATTAATTTTTAAAGAATGGGAATTTTTTCCTTATTTCTTGAATTCTAAATATTGCACTACCCCATGATTGAGCGCTCATACTTGTTATATATGCATATAACATATATATGTGTATATATATACACATACCCACACACACACACATAATAAAATCCCTGGATGCCCTCAGTCACATACTCTCAAATATAACTTCTATACTTAAGATACTCAAATTTATATCCCATTCTATGACCAACCTTCAATTGCCTATTCCACATCTCAAAGTGGTTATCTTTTACAGTTGTCAAATGCACAAAATGTATATTTTATGCATTCATTCCTTAGGAAATAACTGAGTATCTTAATGTTTCAGATAAGAAATTCTTATATTGTAACTGTTCTTTTAATCTGATTGAATCTTTATTGATAAAATTATATCATAATTCTTTGCTCAATCCACAAAAGAATTAAAATTTTAAGAATACCAGTTTATTTGAATTAAAAATATATTCTTCAAGAATTACTTTAATTTATTTTTGAAACATTATATCCATACTATATTTTCAAAATAATTTTGAGAAATATGCTACTGTACCTTTACATTGAGGTGGTTCTGTCCATGTTCCATTTAGACACATCACTTCTATTTCTCCAAATATTTCAAAAGGTTTGTTACATTCATATCGTACTCTTTCACCAGATGGATACTTAGTCATCTGGACTGATATTATAGTAGCATTTTTCACTATGGGTGGATTCACACAGGAATTATCTGAATACAAAGGAAAAAATTAATTCTACCAACTTTAAGTAGTCAAAAAATAAGATTCCAAACATATTTGAAGGGGTACTGAAAATCACTAGATAATTCATCATAAAGGACTTTGCTGATGTCAGTATGTTTACATGTAATATGAAGAAAAGAAGGTACAGCAATATTTTTGTAAAAGCTAAGCTTTATATCCTTAAATTTCTTCCCCATTCTTCACTACAATGTTGACACACATGTTTTACTTGTTAGTGGAAAAGTTTCCTGATAATCTCCCTTGACTTTAGTAGAATAAATATAACAAGTTCTATAAATGCAACATGAATTTGAAAATGCAAAAAAATTAGAAGATGATAGAATGACATTAATCTTTGGTTTGTAATCATACTGATTTTTAATTGTAAATTTGTCTTCTTAAAAATAAATGCAAAGAGGCATGTCCTTGGAGAATAAATCATGAATTAAAAACAGTAACATAGATGAAATAGCATATTCAGTCAAAAAATCTAAACTGCAATATAAGAAAATAACAGCAAAATTTATGCCTATAAAAACAGTGCTTTAATATTTTTTGCAAATGTTTAAGGACACTATGATGAATAATGTAAAATTCATCAGGGAGTTTTAGGTGAGTGAATAGTAAAAACAGGTTACAGCAATGGTTTCAAATGGAAGTATGCATAAATTCCCCTGGAAAACTTGATTTAAAAAAACTTTCCAAATTTTCAAGGTCGTAACTCTAGATTTTCAGTTTAGTATGTCAGAGATGAGCTCATGAATTTTAATTTGCTTGTGTAACAATTTTGAAAGACATTGATGCTGCTGGTCCAAGGACAACATTTTGAGGATCGCTGGGTTGTGAGATGAACAACTGGTTATTCAAATCCATTCTTTATTTCAGAACATAAACTTAGTTTTGGCTTAAAAATTAGTTTCTGCTTATTTTTAATGGTGCTAGAGATAATTCTATATTTCCTAAGACAATTTGATGAATTTACTTTAAATTCTATCCAAGTACCTTTGCATTTTGGTTCTCCTATCCATTTGCCATTAACACATGTCACAATGCTGGAACCATCCAATTGGTAAGATCTTGGACATTTGTATGTCACGTGTTCTCCTGAACTATAAGATGCCTTCTTCTGCTCTATGAGTATGACACCTTCAAAGGTGGGCACATTAAAACAATCTGTTCCTGAAAAAATTGGAACACACAATATTTATTCATTCTGTAAATCTTATACCATATAATGTTTATATTCTAAAATAATTTTAGGTACATATAGAACCAATGAATAATATACATATGCTTCCTATAACTTAGCAAGATAGGTTCACGATTTTTACTTAATTACATTGACTTAAAATGTATCAGAAGTACAGTATAAGAGGATAATATCAGATGCCTGAGGAAATATTGAGATGTAATCCTTGAGATCACACTTTTTACACTCAAGTTATTTTGCCTGTACTTGCCATGTATATCATGTATTTCTACTTTTTGCTTCTGTTCAGACATAAGTTGCTGATAGGAATTATTTCAAAGTTTTAGAAAACATATGTTTGTACTGGGATCACTGACAGCAGACTGAATAATGATGCATCTGATGAGTAAGGGCTGCTGTGCTCCAGGAAGAGAGAGGTCTGTGTATGTAAATCAGAGGATTCTGACAGCTCGTAGAAAATGATGTGAAAATGATAATATTAAATTTTTTATTACTAGGGCTATAATTCTTTGCCATATTGCAGAACTTTCAAGTGATACCTTGGGAAATTCTAGAATTAGAGCCTATATACTCATTTGTACCATTTACACTTTCAGTTGGAGTATTCATTACACATAAAATAAACTTAAATACTTATGCAGACTGGTGGGGTGGACCATTTTTTTCCCAAACATTTTATAAAAGCAGGTCCATCGATTCCAAATCCTTCCAGACAGTCGTATGTAACTTCTTCTCCATACTGATAACTTTCTAACTCTTGAGACGCAAAACCATAAGAAATTGAAGGTGGAGGTTCACAAGGAAGCCCTACAAGTAAAATAATGAAAGAATTAATTTGTGTTTCACTAATTCAAAAATTTAATTTTATGTGCTAGTTTTAATGTTTAGCAGTTTTTTAAAAAATGAAATGGTAGTATAGCAGCTACTATAACTTCACAGAGGTTAATAAATGCCTCCTATCCAACATCCCAGTGCATATCCACCTGTCACAAGGTCACAAACTGAGCAAGAATGTAAAACTAACAACGTCAATACTTTTAAGAGGTAACCAAAACTTTTCTAACCAACCATAAATGATAAAAGCAAACATACAGAGGGGTCCTTTAGAGAAATGGAAAAAACTGGAAACAAAGTCTTTGTAAATAGGGAGGGGTAGAGGGAGTGAAGGGAGGGCATGGGAATGGGGAAAAAATAAGAACCAAGATACATCATGTAAAGGTACAAGATCCCAATCATGAATGTAACTGTAATGTATACCTAAAATGTACCAATAAACTCAATAAAAAAAAGTGTCATGCATTTTAAGAAATCAGAAAGGACACTGTAGGAAAAATGTAAAAATATTTAAAAACCTGTTTGCAAAGCAAACTCTTTAATCTACATGGGTAGATAATTCAAATTCACTGTACATTATATTTTTTACAAAAGAATATCTGAAGATAATGTGATTCTACAATGAATCAATAAAATAAATAATGATGAAACTGACTCAATTTGGTAAAAGCATTTGAATGATAAATATATAATTGAATATATATGAAAATCTATATTACTTTATCCTGTTACTTTCATAACAATGCTAAAAAATTTTTTTGACATTCTACCCAAACCCTTTAAAAAATTAATTTCAGACGAGGTCTTGTTAAATCACCCAGGCTTGGCTCAGACTCATGATCTTCCCATAACACATTATTTTTAATGGTTTGTACTGAAACCAATATTGTCATTTTCAGACTGCTCTTACCGACACACTGTGGTGGTAAACTCCATTTTCCCATGTGACATGTTATCCCACCTTCTTCAGATAATACAAAACCATCTTCACAAGTATAATTTAACTTAGTACCATGTGGATATGGTCTAGATTCAGCAGTTTCTTTCCTTTCTTCTGAAGATCTATGTGATTTGATAGTTCCATGGTTTATATGAGGTGGTTGAGGACATGCAATTTTCTCTACATGAAGAGCAGAAACCAAAGGGTAAAATAGAAATAAAAAGTTAAAATTGGAAAACAAAATCAAATATCGTTTGAGTTTTCTCTCCACAATGTTTATGTTGTCATCCTCTTGTTCAGTATCCCCCTCTGTCTGTGTCCAATTCATTGTATGAAGTAAAATATTTACCAAGAGAATTTTATCTGGCATTTACATAATTTTCCTATCTGTTGCCTATATTGTGTTCACAGAGGTGAAAAACAGTAATTAATTGATTGATGTAGCTAGATCATAATTTATAGTTCTGGGTAAAGTATAATAGGTGTAGAGAAAGGCCTTCACTTTTTTTCATTTATATAGAGCCCAGGGGATTACAAACCACAACTGCAAGAACACTATAGAGCAAGTTATACACAGCACTACTGACCTACACAGCGTGGTAGTGACTGCCATTTTCCATCTTTGCACACAATTTCATCTGAATTCTGAGGTATATAATTTTCTTGGCAAAGAATAGATATTTTTTCTCCATCATCATATTTCACCGTGGTTATCATATTTTGAGCTTTGGGAATCTGAGGTGGAGGTGGGCATGAGATTTTTTCTACTTCTGGAAAACATTAAAAATAGACTCCTTGATTAAAATATTATAACAAAATAATAAAAGACTAATTCTCCATAAATAGAAAATTCAATAATTATGAATCATAATTTATCATATAACATCCTATGTTTATATATGTGAAATTTTCAGCTTGTATTGCAGTTCATTATTATTTATTCTTATGGTCTCCTTTGTGGTTTATTAATTTTTTTTCTTTAAGCAATCTTGTACAATTTTATAAAACATTTCAATTATTTCTAAGCTTTAGGATATTTCAAACAAGTTTTATACTTTTAGTTACAAGTATTGAATAAAAAATGAAATATAAGTACTTTAGAGATTAAAATGTATGAGATTAAATGTATTGAGATTAATTTTAAACCATCATGAGATACAATAGTAATGGAAGCTGATTACACAGAGAAAATTTTATTTAGCTAGTAATTGGCATTGATTCTGGGTTAATGTAATTATTACATATTTATACTCTTCTGACCTTAACATTTAGTAGCTTACCTTATACCATTTAGAAATATAGAAACTAATGATGCACACTCAGTGTAATAAGTATACAGGCTTTCTTGAGTTGCCTAATTTTTAAAGCATAAAAGACACTCTGCAAACTTATCTGAGCCCCTATAAAACTAATACCTTAGATATATTTTGGTGGTTCATAATCTGAAGTTGAAGTTTGTCACTTTTGACTGAAGAAGACTCTAAATGAACTTGGAAGATCTCTCTGATTCTTTGTTTGCTTTCTTCTATTGTACTGTGACAATATTCTGTACTACATTAAAAGTTTTATGCAAATATACCCTGGGAAGCCTTGTAAATCTTTTTAATTATTTGACATTATCAATTCAAAGAGATATTTGACTGAATAAACATTTTTAATGGTTATTGAAAACATCAAATTGTTTTTGCTTATGGCATTATGGCTCATATTTTATCAAAAATATTTTCTCATTTCTTAAATATTGACATGTTTTTCAATGTATTCTCATAAATATATTTTCCCTGAATATTAGCAATATTTTAATTTATTATTTCTATTTATTATTAGCAATATTTTCTATGTTCTTTATGTGTATATTTTTTTCTAGATTGTTTTATCTGTTGCTTCTATTTTGTTCTTTGTTTTCTGATGCATGTTTTAGTGCTACAAATATTTCTGCCTTTGGTGTATTCCATAAATTTCTGTGTGTACTACAATCATTGCCTTTTAATTTAAAATATTTTCTGGTAGTGTGATTGACAGAAGTTGTGTATTTTCCAAATTTGTGAGATAATTAAAGAGAATTGTAGTTAGTTCTCCTATTGTTTTAGACTTCGCTGTGAATTTAGAAAAAATTTTCCAGGAAGTTTATTATTTGAGACTCGCTCAGATTTCCTTCACTGAATAGATACAGTCCATGATTTTAATGAGCTAGCTACCTTGAAATGAAGCAATACAGATGTTCAGAAGTTTTACAACAGTTGAGAAGAAATACTTTATAATGTTAAAAGGAATATTTCAAGGAGACAAACCAATTGTGAATGTGTGTGTTCCTACAAATATAAAAATACATGAAGAAATATGGAAAAAGTAAGAAAGAAACAGACAAAAATCTTAATACTGACAACATTCTTTGCTGTGACTTATTGAATAAAAGAAAAGACTTTGAAAAGATGTAAATAAATTTGAAGAATACTATAACTTGTTTGCATTTAATCTTACAACTATAGTATACACATTTTTTTGGTAAAAATAAGACCATAACCAAGATAGACAATATACTGCGCAGTAAATATAAACAAATATAAAAATACTGAAATCTTGCATAGTATTCTCTGACAACAGAATTAACTTAGAAATCAGTAGGAATAAGTTATCTAGAAGAAACAAATATTTGGAAAATAAACAAAAAATTCTAAATAATTAAGGCACCAAATGACAAATCAGAAGGGAAATTAGAAATACTTCAATGGGATAAAAACAGAATACACATATAAACATACGTATTTATAAAAATCAAATTATATATATGTTTATATACCTGTTTGTGGGACACGGCAAAAAGAGCACTTTAAGAAATGGTACTTTAAAGTTTTATATTTTAAAAGTATGACCATTTAGATCCATGTTTTAATTTTTTTTACCTTAACAATGAGAGTATTGCAAGGCTCTGAGTTTGATTCCCAGCACCACACACACATACATAATGAAAAAAAAAGAAGAAAGAAAGTTAAACTCAAAGAAGGAAGGAAACAATAAAGTCAATGTAAAGAGAAAATTACAAGAGAAAATAGTGAAGCTTAAGGCTAAACAGAGAAGAGAAAAATGGAAAAAAACAAGTATTAGAATGTTATTCAAAGTTATTACTAAAGTAGAAAAAACTAAAAAGAATGATCACAAAAAGAGAAAAAAATGACATCAAGGATGAAAAAAACATGTGACATCACATCCACAAGATGGCAGTCCAGGAAATTCTATGGACACACTGATTCAAAAATCATACACAAACCATTGTTTTTTGTAAGAAATCCAGAAAACAGTCGAGAGGGGTCTACAACTAAGTGAGCACTAAACCAGGTGCATCAAAGATCAAAGCCAGTGAGGAAATTCAAGGCATCCTCACTCTTCCCCCACATAGTCACACAGTGGAGAGGAAAGTATAGCTCCCAGCTTCACACTAGGCTTGTGGGGCTTGTGGAGCTTGTGTCTGATATTCTGGGTTTCCAGGGGGAGCAGCTCAGGGACTGGATTCTGTGCCAATTGTCTCAGGGTGCTGATGGGATGGAGCACACTCCAAACGCCTGGAGGCCACTGAGAATAAGATCTAGTTTGTATATTTTGCTCCAAAGACATGTACCAAAGCAGACAGAGGCCTGTGTCCCTTTCTCAGGAGAGAAAGGAAAGAATGAACCATGACTCTATCATTCTACCTTTGTGGGAAGCAGCCTAAGGACTGGGTTTTCTCACTTGTCTTAGAGCATTGACCGGGCCTGGAAAACTCTAGGTGCCTGGGGGCTGCAGAGAATGATAAAGAACCCGGCAGGGTGCTGCTGCTTCCAGGGAGCCTGGGGTACAACAGAAGAATGTTTTCTACCATGGAAGATTCAGGGAAAATAACAGCAGAACATGTGTCCAGTGCTCGGGGTTTTTAGGTATCTGTGAATGACTTGCCCAACTTAGGGCATAGATGGGAATTGATACATTCTTGATGGCTGAGGATCACTGAGAACTAAGATCTTTGTACAGTTGCCCCAGAGCCTCCAAGGTACAGTAGACCGTAACCAGAGGGACTAAGGCATATAAGTTTCTGAAAAAGAAACCTTCAAATCCCTCTACTTATGAATGTACACATACATCTCCAGGGAAGATATCTCCACAGAAAATATTTCCAAAGCTCCAAAATAGCTAGCCTTGCTCATGGATGAAGGTCTACACCTGTATGAAAGCAGTCCATAAAGCCTGGAAAAGGAAAATCTTTAAAAATGTGTAGCTGTCAAAACAAATGAGAAAGAAAACAAAACTGAGAAATATGCACAATGAAAGGATCAAAATAAATCTAATATATATACATAGTTGTAAAATTCACTAAATTTTCAGAATGAAAAGTTATATGAATAGGTATAGAAATGTATTTAACCACATTTATTAGCCTCTGACAGAACAATTTCTTTTTTTTAAAGAATAAAAAGAAATTCCCCCAAGCTTATAAAGGCTAGCTCTATAAATCCCAAAATAACATCATAATTTTAATAGAATATTAAATGGGGAGTTCTGAAACAACACATATAGTAAATGTTTTTTTCCCACACATACTGCTTGAACACCTGGTTATCCACATAGAAAAAAAATTAACCCCAACTTAATACTGTTCTTGAAATAAGTATGAGACAGATGATGTATGCCTAAATGTAAATGCTAAGAAAACTATAAAACTTCAAGAAGAAAATGAAGAACATATGTACTTCAATGAAAGTAAATTTTATTTCCTTAAAAAAAGGCTACAAGCAAACTTAAGTGGATGCAATAAATTTGATTTGGTATTGGCATGTCAGTGTTTCCTGTATATACTAAGTTTTCAGAAATGGCTAAAAATATTGAGGCTAGTGAGGCCGGGTATTCAAAATTAGAGTGAAAAACTCAAATATGAAAAACAAGAAGACTGGAATGGACTGTTTGTTATTCAATTGGAACTGGAGGCACACATGTGACTCAGACCTTTCAAGGCAGATAGAAATAAAAATAGATAAATGATTATAGAGAGATATATTATTAGAGAAATGATACATATAGAAACAGACAAAATGGTCATGTATGTAATAGGCATAGATGTAATTATAGGTATAGGTACATTTGTGTGTAAATGAAGGAATTGGAAACATTTATACTTTCATAGTAATATGCACATGTAGTTCCTAGATACCAACTTAAAGTTATCAAATTTATGTGTTTTTTTAAATACTATGGGTAACCAATGAATATGATAGAACAAGAACATAGAAATTGTGTTTGGTTGGTTACTAAATTACCTTCCAGCTTAAAAAAATTTGCATGTCTAAATAGCAAAATTTTTAAAACTCACAAATATACTATTTTTACAAATGAGGAAAACAGTATAAATTTTAGAAAACATTGTAAACAAGAGCTTACTTGTACAAGAGGGTTGAGGATCCCATCTTCCATTTATGCAGATTGAGTGCTGAAGATTTGGCTTTCCTCTACATTTGTAGCTTATGTTAGAGTTATGGTGAAATTCACTCTTATCTGATTGACTTGCTTGATTTATATTTACATTTGGTGGTTTACAATTCTTAAGTTGATCTGTTGCTACAAAATGAAAATATTTTCATGAAAAGACCAATTACAAAAATCAAGTCTACTACTACGTAAAAAGCTATAAAGTCAATGTATAAGGAGGAATTGTGACTTGTAGCTCTATATTCCACCAGATATTTATTCCTGATCACAGTGTGGAAGGTGAGCAATTGTGTATGAACATAAGTGTCATGTTCCATCTTTAAATATCAGAGAGAATACCTGTCATAAAAATATTTTGTACTTTGGGGCCTGGAAGAGCATCCAAGGTTCACTTTCTCAGACTCTCTCCACGTCATAACATGGCTAAATTGTACCCTACACTTGAGTTCTGTGCACACGTTCACATTCACTTATTTTCCTGCTTGTAAACAACACTGTATTTTTAAATCCACAATTGTAAGATATTAAAATAAAAACATTGTGGAAATAGAATATATGAAATTACTAATATATATATATATTCAAGATACAATAAGAAAAATAGATTTCAGATGTGGGCAATATAAAATAGTTAAGATTTTTTGTATGAGATAGATAGGTACTTGAAATAAGAAACTGGATGCTGAAAGTCATGATCTTGTTTGTTTGTTTTACCTACTCTTAAAGTGTTTAATCCAATAATTAATTGATACTATTATACTATCATAATAAAATTCTGTTGTTTCTGTTGTGAGTAAATGTGGACTATAAATAAATACATATTTCCATAGCAATGAAGATGAAAACTGATTTTGAGTTTGGTAAAATGTCAGTGTAGGTCTCTGATAATTTTTGTTGTTAATAATTAGGAAAGCAGAGTCAAGTGAGGATGAACAGAGCAAAGAAAAGTGAGTAACCAGCTAAAGTGTAGGAGCAATTTTGTAAAACAACTTTGAAAAGCAATAAAGCAGGTGAATTCAAAGCACACTAGACTTGAGAATTAGTCTCATCGTTGGGTCTGAGCGCCATGTTGAGAAAGAGAAATAAGACATTCTGCCGCAGATGGTAGCTAAAGGAAGAACTGAGGTCACGGAGCGCGGTGGTGCTGGTGGCTAGGCCTCATGATCAGTTTCTGGAAGAATTCCCTTATCTATTGGGAGAAAATGAACACATCGAGAAGAGTGCAAAGGACAGACTAGCAGAAGGTACAAAGTAAAGATTGAGAGGGTGATGTTGCAGCAGAGCCAATGACTGATACAAGGGTGTTACAAGAAGCAGACAAGCAGATTAATCACAGGGAGTAAAACTCTGAGATTAGAAGAAATAATAATTGAAACAGAAGTTTTGCTGAAAGTTAAAATGAAGAGTTGGGAGCTTTCATGCCTGATATTATCATAGGCTTTCCTTCAATATGAAAGGGAAGAAATCATTTATGGATACAGAAAAGAACAATGATGAGGTTAGTTCTGAAAGGATTGAAGACAGTACTTTTGACACAAATGTGTTTAGCAAAAAAAGAAAAAAAACGTATGAGGGATTACAAGCAGAAAAACTTATTGGCTCATTTGACAAACCCTTATTGAATGTCTCCTGTTGTCAGCCTGTCTTCTGTCTATAGGGAATACACAGTGAACACTACAGGAATAAACCCTTGTGCTTGAGGAAGTCTCCATTTTTCTGAGATCAGTGAGTCAATTACAGTATTCTGGAAGTTCAGAGAGCAAGAAAAACTGGATGTCTAGGACACTCTTTGCATGAAGGACCCAAGAAAAATGTAGGAAAGAACTCAGTCTAGGAGAAAAGTGAAGGTAGGCCCTGAAAATCCTTCCAGTTAAATACAAAAAACTGGTCACAAAAAGGGCAGGATGATTTTCTAGCAGTGAAGTCATTTAGGAAATTTATTTCCTGTCCCAATTCCAGAGACCCTTGCCAGCGAGTGATACCACCACCTGAGAGAGACTGAGGCCAGGCCAGCTGTGACACATGAAATTCGGCCTTTTAATTCGACACAAATTGGGAATTTTTCTTTTTTAAATGAATTTCAAGAGAGAAAAGATTCCTATGAAAAAGTACAAAGTAGGTGTGTTTTCATTATTTGTCTGCCTTCCATGACCTCAGATGAATATTGTATAACAACAATGGTATCTACTTAAAAATGTTATGTTTTCTTGGTAATAATTATTCTTGTTTTGATCCTATGGAATTTATATGTAAAATCTAGCTTTATATTTATAAGATAAATGATATTAATAACAAACACAAAACATTCATAAAATTCTATTGCAAGTTTTGCTTTTCTTCTGTAGCTATAAACTGAGTGATAAATAAAATTTTAAATTTATGATATTTAAGCCTATGCACTTTGAAGAATATGCCTAAATTCAAAAATATGAGTGGAAATACTTTTGCAATAAAAGTGTTAAAATAATAAATGTCAGTTTGAGAAGTGTATTCTCACCAACACACTCAGGAAGTTGGGTCCACGTTCCGCTAATACATGCAATTGATCTGTGTCCAATCATTGTGTAGGTTTCAGTACAATTGAAGTCCACTGAATGTCCATGGTGATGGGGAGGGACAGCAGCCAGGGCATAGCCATGGGCAAGTTCGGGTATGCTTCCACATGTTCTTTTCTCCTCTATGCAAATTTCATAAAAAATATTATAATGAAGACATATTGTATATGTTTAAATAAATACAAAAACTTGAAATTTAAATATATTACCAATACATATCGGCAAGGTTGTCCACTCTCCGTCAACACACTGGATTTTATTTGGCCCCTTCAACAGAAATCTAGGATTGCATTTATATTCCACCACTTCATTGTGTCCATACACTTGTTTCATTGCTTCAGTCACTTCCCCATTGAGGAGGTCAGGAGGTTGATCACATGACTGTACTTGATCTGCAGTACAAATACTATGTAAATGATGATTAAATTGTCTATTTTATGATTTTAAAATCCAATGGAAAGGAGACATTGTCTTTATTTTTTATCATATAATTTACTATAGAACTCTTAAGGAGAAAAGAATGTTTATAGTGGATTCACATTTTCAGTTGTATTACTTCTAGTGAAATAGCATTGGAAGTATATTTAGGTTTTAAATATGTTCAATAATTTGGGTATTTTAAAGATTCATGAAAACATATTAGGAAATTATAATGCTTTGAAAAAGTATCATCACTAGCAAGCATTTGCTTGGCATATTTTAACTGCTATTAAGTGACACATGCCTAAATATTGTTTACATATACCTAATGAAATTTGATGTGGGGTCTATACTTTATAAAATGTTCAATATTTAGGGGGTAGTGCAGGCAGAATGAAAAGTAACAACACAAGTCTTTCCAGTCTCAGCCACTGTATTTTTATACTTGAATATTTTTATTACATATCTCAAGAAACAACTGGTGATTAAGCTCTTAAATAAATGACTTTGCATCTTTTACTCATAATATGTCATTCATGGATGTGTCTTTGCTGTAATGCATTAAACTATGGGCACACTGGAAACCTACCAAAAATTAAGAGAAGAAAAAAGGTGTATATTCACAATTTTAATACTCATTTAATTAATGGCAAGATAAATATTTACCTTTGCATTTGGGGACTTTAGGGGACCAGCCAAAGTGGTAACACTGCACTGAATCCGGTCCAACTCTTTTTAATCCTGGTCGGCAGGAGAATTTCAACAAGTCCCCAACTTTATATTTTTCTTTTGTGGGAACAGCAACTACATACTTTTCTATTTTGGGAATTGTGCATTCTTTTTCTTAGAAAAAAAGTAAAAAATTTATGAGAATACAACATTAATCATTGCCAAAGTGAAGCTTATATTTTTCATATAAAAATGAGGTAGAGGTTTGGTGATACACAGGGAGCATCAGATAAAGTCTTTTTCTTGGAAACATGTTACATATTATGTTTTATACAGTCTGTAAATTCATATGGGCTTCTCTAAGAAATATTATGGTATTTAACTAAAATATATCTGTCCTGAAAATTCATTTATGAAGTCAGCTTGTTTGCACTGGATCTGGTTTACTGCTGCTATTTATAGGACTCATTGTTACAATTTATACTTTCAAAACATGATATTGTGACTCTCATGATATTTAAAAATACTAATGCTGCACAATTTTTAAATTACACTCTTAAACACAAATTAGTATGCTTCTTTAATATAATTTAGGGCACACAACACATAAAAACATTTCTAATCCATTTGAAGTAGAAGTGTTAAAAATCACAAAATTATTATATACAAACGAAGAGCACAAACTAAGAGACAAGACAATATTGATAGACATTCTGAATCTTGAATATTTTCATTAATATTTCGTTATTTT